TCTCTAATCCCAGATGTGATGAAGAAATTCTGAGGCCATTTTCAGTCTCTAGGTTAAAAACTTGTCGGCCTGTTTTATGAAAAATTCCAAAAAGTACCAGTTGGAGAATGAAAAATACCTTCATACAGATTTCATTCAAAACTCTGCATTCTAAATTTAATGTTCCTAGGACCCTTAATGTTTATTTAATATTTCTGGGAATGATTAGTTTAGAAATCTCCAAAATTCAATTGCAAAAAGCACTGAAAAAAGTCTATTAGACACCCTGAAAGTTTTATTTGTATGATCATTCTTTTTCAGTGTGTCCTATTCTAATGAATAGGCTAAGAAAAGGTTCTATGGAGACAATTTTACCCCTTAAGCTCTATAAAGTTCCAACTTTTGAAAAAGTACCAGACTCCTTTCAATTATTTATTGTATGTGGAGATATAAAGGTAATCAGTTTTACCCTTTTTACCCATTTCATCCCCTAAACGTTCCCAAAAATCCATCAAAAATGAACAATGCCGTTCCTTTGGCAAAAACCAAATTTCCACGATTCTAGCTTTAACAGTTTTGACTGGGCGATGGACGAGAATAATGTTCTATAAAAAGGACCATTTCACAAAAGTACCAAACTTAAGTATATTCGTAATAACGTAATATTAACTGTTTTAAAAGACACATCAGGTGCAAAAAGGGACCAAAATTTTTTATCTGTTCGCCTACTATTTCTTAATAATTTCCAAAAATCACTTGTTAGTGGATCTACATAACCAAACATTTATATACTGTCAAAATATTATGATTCTAGGTTCAGCTTTTATATGTAGAAATTAATAAATTTCAAATACTGTGTCTATAATACCAGATCTTTGAAAAATTAGCTAAATATAAAGATTTTATACTACTACTATTACGACATAAATCAAATTAATGTTACTCATACGTCATGTTATACTCCCACTCTTCTACACTCGTGCTTACTTTATTGCAGACATAGGAATGAATGAAAGCATTATCTGAAGCAGCTAGCATGCTTCGATAAGTTGGTTGGGGTGCTGTTAATGCAATATCTCATGTGTTAGTGTGTGTGTTGTATGTATGTCTTTTGTTACGTGTAGACAGATGATAATAAGCTTGATGACCATATAAAACTTTTTTGTTGTTGTTCGTTTAATTTATTTTCTTAGATTTTTCACTTTTATTATGTATTTGTTGTTGTTGTTGTTGATTTTTGTATAGTTAAGGAAGACCTTTTCTTTTTTGTTTTAAGTTTTTTTTTTTATTCGTTTTACGTTTTTAATTATTTATTACATTTTAGATTAAGAGATAATAAGTTATATACTATGCTACATACTCCCAGTCGCAGTTTGTATGTATGGTGTATACTTACACCAACAACATATTAAGATAGCAAGTATAATCTCATACATACAAATGTTTGTCTGTTAGTTTCAGTTGTCCAGTGTGTTTGTTTTAGTTATAAATATTTTGTATCTATAAGTTTTGTTAGAATGTAGGCATAACTAATGATGATGATTTTCTAAATAGCATAAGTACTATGAGATTAGTCAAAGAAGTTAAATAGTATTTTGTGTTATTTGTTGTAATTGTTTTTCTTCTAGTTGTTGTTGTTGTTGTTAAAGTTTTAGTTTTGTTTTTGTGTTGGTTTTTATGTTAATGTTGTTATTTAATTTATACATTGTCAAAGTATAGTTTAAAAGATTGCTAATGTTTTATGCTTAGATATGAGAGAGTTCAAAGAGAACAAGAGCTTAAGGAAGAAAGCACAATTAAAAGGAAGTTATTATGTTATTGTTGCTGTTCTTGTTGTTTTTAGTTATCATAGTTTTAAGTTATTTTCGAAATACTATATATACAAAAGACTCAGAATTATATATATTAATGTGACCAAATTTAATGAGGCAAATTTAGAAAAGAAAGCAGATCATTGACAATGATCGTTTCCAAATTCATGCAAATTAATTATGCCGCCTGTCCAAGATTAACTTCACTCAGTGCACTTCAGTATTATAGCCACTCTTTATAAGATTCTAATATGTTCAGTTAACACCCTTAAGTTCTTTATCCATTATAAGCTGAATTAGGAAATCGACTGAATGATGAACGGCTTCAAAAAATAATATTATTCTATGAAAAGAAAAAAACAGTTTTCTGACCAAAAATATTTTGTAATGATCACTAAATAATCCTAGGATCGAAAGCGTTATCTATTATACATGGGTATTAGACTTTCAAAAATCCTTAATTTCGATTAATATCAAAGCTGGAGATAAGAATGTATTTTCTTTCGCATCCTTCTCAACATTCTATAAGAGTTCTGTAAGGGTTCTGTCGGCAGCTCGAGGTATTATATGAGGCCTAAACTAGATCCTGTATAACAACGAAATTGTAAAAATAAAGGCTATTCATTACCTTATTTAAAGTCTGTCTTTTGATCATTGAAAATCAAATTTAATATCATCAATTTGTTCACCAAATCTATAACAGTTATATGGATATGAGACATGGAACGGAACAGTATTCTAAAAATATTTGATACATGATCTGAAGTAAATAATGATGAAGACCACTCTGACATCAACTAGATATATTTTGTTTATAAAGCATTAATCGTGATGAAGTAAGAAGAACTTTATTGTAGACACACTATATAAAGTCTACAAATCAGCACTTATTGGAATAACAGGAGCTCTAAGAACTAACCCTTTACAAGTACCGAATACTTTATTGCACTTTATTCTTATCGATCTTCACATATTGATCATTTCTGTTAGTAACTTAGCGGACCCATACCGGACCCATATGGACTTTTATCTAGGAATATATTATACAGATGGTTCCAAAATGAACTGTGTTGTTCGTTCAGTTTTATCTGCTGAGTGGCTCAATGTCCTTCGAATAACTATAGCGTTTTCAGGCTGAAGTCTTCGTAATAATGACAGCCGGTAGAACATTATATGATCTCAATATTCTTTCATTAAACACTTACATTAACATACCCTTATTGGTCAGGAAATGCAAGTATAACTGGTCAAAGCTACACATAGCGATTGCTATGGAAATGAACAAACATATGAGCCAGTCAGATCGGAATTTACGCTGTTTTAGGCGCAATTCCATTGGTATTTATTAAAAGCTCAGGTTCTTTATTCAAAATAATCTGAACACATGTAGAATATGTAATATGTTTTCTTCTAATAAGAAACGTGCTATCCAACTTTTAACCGAAAACAGGCGTAAGAGGTTGTTGGGGATTCATTACGAGTAGCGGTGTTGGTTCTGGTGTTTTCTGCTACGATGCTGCGATAAGGATCTATCAATGTACAATTAACTGTAGTGTTTTGTGAGACTAACATATTTGCAACAATGACAACATATAGGATTCTATATGATTTCAATATTCTTGGAAACTTATGAATAGATTTTCATTGAACTCTTATATTTCCATATCCTTGGTCAGACAATGCAAGAATGATCAGTTATAGCTGGGCCGTTAGTCTGACATTACCCTGAGTTCTTGCTTGTAGAGACTACTTTGGAAATGAACAAGCAGATGAGCTAGCCAGATCGGTATTTTATTTGGATATCTCCAACTCTTTTGGCGTTTATTTAAAGTAGTATCTTCAGATTCTTTCTTCAGGAGCCATGCCTTCTTTCAATGATAAATGTACTAGACAACTTATAGCCCGAAACAGACGGAAGATATTGATGTTGTTGGCATTAATAATTGTCCTTTGGACAGGTAGGCAAGTCGGCTTGGATTCTTCTTCAACGAATTTTGTCTCAGTTGTGACAGGGAGAAGGAGGAAACGGGTATCAATCTATACATTACATACATGACATTCAAACTTATTAAATTATCTACTAAATGACCTATTAAGATATCTCACTGCTACAGGTTGGATCTAATATCAGCCTGGTATATACTATGATATATTGGACAAGTAGAAGGGTCTTGTCAAAACGGAGTCCTTACGACTCTACTTGACTGCTTGCACGCAGGAAACTATTACGTTAACCAATCATTAATAGTCTAGTGATATGAGTTCTAAAGGTATGACATATTCCAATTGGAATCATCTGACCTACAAAAAGCTTGAAATCTAAAGAATCTAAACATACAACATAGGCTTTAGTTATAAACCTTTTCCGAGAAGTTGATCCGTAATCTTAGCTATTTTTATGGTTCCGATATCAGAAGAAATTGATATTAAAAAATTATTCGTTTAAGACTCATTCAGATATAAGTATCTAAGGGATCATTTATAAACTAAACAACATTCAAAATCTTTATAAAGTCATACGGCTCCTAATAGAAATTAGCAATTCTCCAATAGTTGGTCACATTAATACATATTTTTCAATTATCATATTTGATTTTAATTATTTAATACCTATTTAGTATATAATGTATATGTAGTTATGTACTATTTGTTGTATGTTCTCGTATGTAGGTTTATAATTAAGTATTTAAATATATTTTGTATTTTTGTATATAAAAAACCCAAAGTAAACAAGCATGTCAATGTGACATAAATAACTATTATTTACTTCATTTAATGATTTGTTTGTCTTGCCTTTATTTTTTTTTATTAATTTCTTTATAATTTATATGTTCAGCTGAAAATTTTCAATTATTCAACTCATTTGTATGTGAGTTTAAGCCTAAAGGGGGGAGGAAATTAAAAAATCTACTAGAATTTAATTTTTTTTTAAACTGGAATTTCTTTTGTTTTAATTTATTAACCTAAATTATATATTTAATTACGAATTATGCAATGTTAACTTTTTACTGTATATTTTCTTCATAATTTTGGGGGACTTAATTGTTAATTAATATAATTTAATTTAACTATTTACTTGAATAATTTTTTGTTTTTTTTTGTCTTTTATTGTTTATGATTAAAATATTTTGTTTGTTTTTGTTTTATTTATAACTACATAACTAGTATTTATTAATTTTATTTATAATAATTTAATAATAATTTGGCATTTATGTTTTTTTATATACTCAATATTGTTGTTTTTTTTTAATATTTGTCTTTTAAAAAATAGTTAACTTTATACTGTTTAGTCTTTTCAGACAATATTTTTCATATAGATTTTTTGTTGTTGTATTTTACTTTAAACTCGTTATATTTATTTAATTTTTTTATGATTTTTTCTAAACTTGATTTTAAAGTTGCTGTTCTTCCTTTTTAATACTTGTTGCGTATTCAAGTTTTTATTCCTTTTAATTATTATTCTTTAAATTTTGTACAAAATTTATTTGATTTTAATGCATATTCTATTTTGTTTTATCTTCAAATTGATCCTATCACAGCAACAAACATTTTTTTGTTTTTATTTTTTTATTTTCCAAATTAAATTTAAAACAAATTATATTACTAAACCATGTAGAAAATAATAAAATAATTTTTGTATTAAGCTAATGATCAATTTAAGACTACAGTTTAGCCAATACACAAACCACAAACTATTTACAATTTTACAGTGATACTAAGTAATTCTATTCAAAAATATTCGACATCTATTCAACAGCTCTATATGAAATTTTGTTCGAAACATCAAATGGAAAACAAATATTTTTCAGAAACAGCAAACTCTCTAAGAATCTTGGAAACTCACTGGATTGTATAAATATAACGTGTTGAAGTGAATAATAAAGTAATGAAGAACTATGATCGATCGTCATCTTGACGCATTGAGATAAACAACTAAATAATATACTAGAGTTGAGGAAATTTGTACACATGTTAAAAGAGCACAGATTTCTCTGAATGGTAATGATCGGAAGCACCATATATATAAGAGAACGATAAAATCGTCATTAGACCAATTTTAACGCCTAAATAATCTTGTTTTATATGTGACATGAACACTATGCCAATCGAAATTGTGGAAGTCTTTTTGGGTTTTCCTCTAAACATAACATATAAGACACAGTTGGATCACAGTTTAGATGTGACATGAACACTATGCCAATCGAAACTGTGGAAGTCTTGTTGGGTTTTCCTCTAAACATAACATATAAGAGACAGTTGGATCACAGGCTGTTATAGAGCTCTTCATCAATGTATACTGGACGTCCTGCAAAGTTATAAACAGAATTAGAAGGGTTACACACAGACATCGAACGTACCATCCCTCAACTATAGAGTATACGAAGCAATTCGATCAAAGGCTCTACTGCCTCGTCATCAATGTGTACTTGACGTCTTGATCGATTATTGCATACCCGAGACAGAACTTGTCTAATATTGCTAGACATTGATCATAGACAGAAGAACACGGCCAAGCGGAAAGGACCAGCAATCTGTAGAAATCTGTTGCTAGACGAACGGCTCTAAGCTATTAGATGGAAGGGAACTAGGAATCATTCTAAAAAATACTCATATATCGATATCTACAGCACTAGCTTTATAGCGGATACGGTAGCCAGAGTCCAATTAGAAAGATATTGGCCGATAAAGATCACCATATCAGAATTTTATTCCAAAGCTAAAGACCAGGCCACGAGGCTAAACAAGTGCAGCAACAGCATGGATTTAAACGGAAACGAACTTCAAGAAACCACTTGCTGATATATCCTCTAGAATCAAAAAATAAAAGCTTCCGGAGATGTCTGAGGTTATTGACGGTAGAATAGACGGTTAACAAAGCGATATTCTAAACAATAAGAAACTTCTTGTCGAGGAGTCTTCTAGAGTCACAAAAGACGTTTAAAATCGAAGTTCGGAAAACTTGAAAAGTCAAAAACTGGAAACTTCTTTTTGAAAAATATTCTAGAGTTACAGAAGAAAGACTTCTTCTGAAATGGCATAAGCAAACAGAAATTTAATACTGAGGTATCATCTAGAGTGACAGATGAAGGTAAAATCTGACGTTCAAGAAATTTGAAATGTTAACAATGAGAAACTTCTTGCCGACGGATCTTCTAGAGTCACAGAAGAAGTGCTTCCGGAGGTGTCTGAAGTTATAAGCAGTATATTGGATGGTATTAAAAACTGAAGTATCTTACTTTTAAGCAAATGTGAATTATCTTTATAATCGAGAATTGCCGAATTATACCAGAACCCTTTACTTTAGTAGAGGCACCTAATTATAATCTGTTCAGTTCCTTTTGCATATAGTTTACCATTGAAGGCATGTGAAAGAATGAAGTAAATGCTTGTTGCAGAAGTCGAAGCGCTTTGAGTAAACACCTGCCGTGTTGGCCTTATTTCACGGTGGTACTGTATGCTAGTACAACTACAGGGTGAGCTTATTACATGACTCACAACTGTAATTTTTGTAGATAGTTCTGCCGGTCCATGTCACAATCACTTTGCTCGGCAACAGCACCTAGAGACGTATGTAATTGGTAGGTCTTGTTCTTACTCAAAGAGTGTGGTAAATCTGGTGTGAACAAAGTAAACCCTGAACATCCGGACAAACGCTGCAAGTACAGACAAGAATATCGAAGTGCTTTACTCGACGCCTTATTTCACGGTGGTCTTTTTCATCAACAGGATAAGCTTCTTTGACGACTCACCACCGCCCGTTTGTGCTTCTTACACGCAGGTAAGAATTTATGTACATAGTTCTGCCGGTCCATGTACAAGCACTTTGCACAAGTACTCGAGCTATCTAATCTCTTGCCATAGTAATCCCGTTGAAAGGTATCATGAGTCAAGTTCAATAAAACCCCGACAAGGAAAAGACAATCACTGGCTAGAGCCGAATAGAAGCGGCTCCCCCAACATCAGGTGAAATACCCTATTGATGATATGAAGAATGCTCTGTCTGTCAGCTAAAGACTCAACCCAGTGAATTCCTTGTCCTCTTAAGTCGCCCAACCACACTACTGAGATGGCTCTGTTGTTTCGTCAACAGCACCTAGGGGCAACAAATTGGTAATACAAAGCACGGATCCTTTTTTAATTGACAATACTTATTTCAGTGGCTACAAGGACCTAATGTGATAAGTTGAGCATGTTTTAGAGTTAACTACAACACACAAAGATTAAGGTCTCATCCAACTCCACCGCCACTCCACCCGACAACACCTCGAATACAACTCAGAATCCATCTCATCCATCAGATACTATCCTTGAATTATCAGCTCAAATTCAACATTTTTTAATCCACTGCTTTGCCCTGTGGTTTGTACCACTCCTAGAAACTAGGAGCGGTAACAGAAACTTATCCTGAAAGTTATATTTCACCCACAGCCACTACGTGGTTCCTGAAGGAACCATTACTAACTGATCAGCCAGGACAAAGTCCTGCGGGCAACAGGCTACCTGAAGTAATAGAATATCTGGTGCTCTGGTTCGACCCCATGTCCGAGGATTTATTTGATCATCACCAGTTTATTGTCCCGGCAGACTAGAGATACTGGTAGCACCTCTTTATCCCGGAATTGTGATACACCAAAATGGGATCTATCATCAAATGCATACAGTCTATTCAAGATCTTTCTAAGAAACATCATATCTATGAGATTAAGAACAGTATCTCAACATTACAACAATGAGAACTTAACATAGCTTCAGGACATAACATAAATTGGAAGATAATGGGGAATTATAATTAGTAGATTAGTTAGATTTGAACAATGAACTGATCGCCTTTTTACCTCAGATATCTCAAGGTATTTCATGTATACGTCCCTTCAAGCCATTGCTAATAAATCCATAGATAAAACTTTTAAAAAAGTCCATATAAAATATAAATTTAAATTATTAAGTAAATATTTTTTTTTTTTGATTATCACTTACACATCTACCTGTCTCCATATTTTGCGTTTAATTCCATTTCAATATAAAGTAAATTTTTAAATTTCATAAAATCATTAGGTTTTAATGATTTATATAAATATAATTTTTAAGGAGATGGTTAAGATTTCAGTGTTGGAAATTCGTAACCTATGGTAAAGAATTTTTATTTTATAAAAAATATATTTTTAATATTTCTTTTTTCAATTGTTTTTAGTAAATTTTTATTTAATATGTTTTTATGTAGTTAAATACAAAAAAATACTCAAAGTCTGAAATATTTTTTTCTTTATAAAAGAAAAAACTACTTCAGTTTCTGAGCTTAATGTCTGTGCTAAACATAAGCATAGACTTAACGAGATGTAGTAGTAAGAGATTCAGAAATTTCAAGATGGTTAGACACAAAAAACTGAAGAAAAAAATATGTTTAAAATTAAAATAACATATAATTTAAATAAAATAGTGTAAAATGATAAGAAGAGTAGGTTTAGAAATGAGATTATTGTATAGAATTTATGATCAAACTTTTTCAAAAAATAACCGTTAACGACCGTTACTATTAGTAGTCGAAATGTTTAAAATTTGCTTCCGCTTTCAAAGAAAAATAAATCTACTAAAATTAAAAGCTTTTTATTATAGCAATTCCAAAGATTTGTCTTTTTAAGGAAGCTTAAAGCTTTTTTAATTATAATATTAATCAAAACTGTTAGCTTAAAGCTTATTCTAAACTTTAAAGAAAGTAACACTTAAAAGCTTTTTTTTAAATTGTTCCTCAGCTTTAATGTATTTATGTTTACAAATTTCCGGTTTGTGTCTTCGCTAAACTAAATTTAAAATTTTGCATATTATTTTTTTCTCTTTTTTCGGATATGATTTGAAGCTTTATTATATATTTCATTTTGGAAGCTGGTTTTAAAATTAAAAATTATTACGCGTTTGTTTTATTAATTTGCAGTTTTTTTTTTGATTTATAAATTTGCTTGTATTTTCTTCATGTTTTCGGTATGTTTTAGCTAACCTAAGCTTAATTAAATTGTAATTAATTATTTTTATTACGTTTAATTATTGCATTGTTGTTCTTCTTTTTGTTGTTGTTGTTGTTGTTGTTTTAATTAATATAATTTATAATTTTGTTTTCGTTGACCAGGCACATGTGCTTAAAATAAAAATTAATTGTTTTTCTTTTGGTTTCTTTGTAAAAATTCCAATGGCAAAACTTAGTATAAAACTTGTTGATGTCAAGCGGATATATTGTTGTTGTTGTTGTTGTTGTACTACTACGTCTATTATTTAATTTGTTTAAATATTTTAGCAAAAGATCTCGTAACACATTCGCATAATAGAATATAAACCAATGTCCATAAAGTTATGGGAACTGTAAAAATGTTTAAGTAACAATATGAGTTAAAAAAGATTTTTGACAGGAAATTAAACAACGACACAGAAATATAATGAAAATAACTAAAGAAAAGGTAGAAAGAAATAAAAAGAAAATAAAAAAAAATAATAACAACTAAAATGTAATTGTTTTGTTTTTGGCATCATTTTGTTTTGTAGGAATTTGAAATACACTTACAATAAAATGAGGCGCTGAAAATAATACAGCCAATGTGGCAATTATGGTAAATAACGTAAAAACAATAAGGCACAAACGATCCACTACCATGGCAGCAAATTTCCAATCTCTTGTTACCTCACCAACTTCATCTTCTTTTTTTAACTTAAATTATTTGCAAAAAAAAAAAAGGATTTACACATGACAATATTTGTGTTAAAGAGTATATTTGTTAGATTATAAAAAAAAACACATCAGTTGCTATATAACCCAGCAAAATTTGTCTCCAAGGAATACAGCATTTGTCAGCCTAAGTTTTCATTGGCTGTCTCAAAGTCTTTTTCAAAGAGAGAGTACTACGAATATTTATTTCTTTAACAAATTTTGCTGGGTTATATCCTTATACTCACTCGTGCTTAGCAGTATATTAATATGATTTTATATGTCTATTTATATGTAAATAAGTACTATACATATGTATGTAAATATTTCCTATATATTTTTTTACTTATTTTAAATCTTAAGCATTAAACATTTATATTCTTAAGCTTACCTGATCCGTTATCCATCTTAACTCTTTCAATATTAAAGCCAATTCATATTCAGCTGATGAACTTAGACAGGTGTGTGATATGGCTTCATGCATTCTAGTATCACCAACAGGACCAACAGGGCCAACACTACCATCATCTCCTTGTCTATAAGTTAAAAGTAATATGATTATATATGTATGTATATGTCGAAATACTTAGTATGTGTAGGTTAATAATATGTATTTATAATAGTACGTTTGTATATTAGGTTGGTTCCGAATAGAAAATTTAGTTCCTTCAAAGATAACATTTCTCAAATTTTTGTCTAGACGCCAATATTTGTTTAGATAGAACAAAGCTTAAAAAGCTCCTTTTTGAGCATGAACCAAGCTTTCATTTTACTTCATACAAATGGGGCTAGCCTAATGTATATGCTTATATATATGTAGGATATAAATTTATGTATGACTTTATATATATGTACTTATAAGAGCTCTGCTAGGTGTGGGTGTCCACATTAACACTCTCCTGTTGAAATATGTGTTGCACGTGTTCAACATCAAATTCTAATGATACTTGCGTGCGTTTTTTCCTTAAGTTTTTGTTTACCTTGTAAAGGCAATATGGAGGAGTACATAGATAAATTAAGTTACTTAATGTTTAAGGAAAAAGTTAAATTGTTTACAATGTTAATAGCGTAATTGAAAACTTTTGACTGTGCTTAAAGTTTGTTAAAGTTTTATATTACTATAATTAGCTTTCTATAGTCTACTGCAGTTGGTAGTGCGCATTTGTGTTGATATCTGTAGAATCCAAACATTCTACAATGATGGATTCGCATTTAAGTGTTTTTCCCTATGATATTATTAAGTGTAGCATATCTAATTGTAATGACTGCAACTAGAGTCCAAATCCATCAAATAAGTCGAGGACTTGTTCTTACTCACAGAGAACATACTGTGGTAAATTTGTTATAAACAGAGTAAACCCTGAATATACCCGGAAAAGGAAAATTTAATGGTATCACTTGGATAAGATACCTTACATCCATCACCATTCAATATAGCACACTTCTCATTCATCCGACACAATAATAGAGAAAAATCCATCACACTCAATCTAGGCATACGGATGGATGAGGCCCCTACATCTATCCGTACCCATATACACTTGACTATACCCACAATGACTCCTCTGTGAGATATCTGTTGTCTAGGCAACAGCACCAAACTTATCCAGAAATATGGACCGTGCATCTGTCTTTTAACCAATATTTGTGTTTAAACCATAGCCGAAGGACCTCTACAATAACCGGGACAAGACATATTCCGAAACTCTGCCCTATGGGCTACCAGTTCCCGTGTTACCATATTTTGTGGTTCTCTGGTTACATCCCATAATAAATCATTCCAATTGAAGAACGAGGATACATTTGATCATCACCAGTTTATAATCCCGGCAGACTAGAGGTATTGGTAGCATTTCTTTTTCCCGGTGAATGGTTTGGATCCCACCGAACTTTTCCCAACATTTCCAAATAAGTGTCTGTGGCCATTTAGATCATCCAGCTAATTTACGGGGTGTTATAGATCAACATTTAAACGGTTTAAATGAGGGAAGAATTCCCTAAGATATAGAAGTGATTACTTATGCAAATTTGCTTATGGAATGTAATATGGATTTGTAAAGCAAAAAAAAAAAGTCAATAGACTCCCAACTCTGCATTGTCTCTGTAACAACCCAATTTCATACCCGGTTATTTTTATCGAGTCTCGTACTCCTAACCTAAATAAACGGCTTAAAATCGGTGTCCGTGGCCATGGGTGTTCGCGAAGCAATGAAAGGTATTACTTTCATTGCTTGGCTTGAGGTAACAAAGAGTGGCTCGTGACTGTATTCCCCAACGAATGAAGATGATACCAATGACTGAACCATCTGCTTGCGGAAACGAAGTGTGGTTCGTGCAGAAAACTACGATGGCAACTTCTGATGAGTCTATTGAAAGCATGGTTCCAATAACAACCCAATCTCATTCTTGGTTATATGAATCGATATTCAAACTGATCCGGAGGACCTGTGAAGGGTTCCCCAAGGAATGAAAGTGAATGAAAGTTATAGTAGAAGACTGCAGTCCTTGCTTAAGGAAACTAAGAGTGGTCCGCGAAGGAAAATATGATAATAACTTCTGATTTTAACGGTCTGTATTTACTGGTAATTTTAAGACTGATTGAGATCTTAAGATTTTATTTCACCAGATAGTTCATAGTAGCCTATAATAGAAGTCCATTGTCTCAGCAACTATCCAATCACATTCTAAGGACAGACAAAGATAAAATAAATATAGAACCTAATGGTAGTAAATGGGGGAGTATCCTGCACGACATTTTCCGAAACATAAATTTACAAATTTGAAGAAAGTATAAGAAAATATGTATGTTTTCTAGCTCTTCTGTTCATTCATATATTTAATGTATTAGCCCATATCTATGAATTAGCAATGTGACAATATACTTATTACAACCGGTATAGTATATATAAACTTTTGCAATGTACTACACTGTATCAGCTGTTATAAAGTGACTGATGGAAGCTTATAATGTTAAAATAAAACGCATACAGAGTTTAAAGTTTGCGAAAAAAAAGTTTTTAAATAAAAAACTTTAAGAAATAAGAAAAGAAAAAAATCTAAAAAATTGAGATAGAAATATATACCAAGAAATGTAATCCCTAAAACAGCCAATATGTTGTAAAAAGTTAAACTATGTGTTTGAGCAGATTTCGAAGAAAATTTCTTAGAAATTAATTTCTAATACATGATTAATATCTCAAAGAATCATCAAGAATATTCTTTGATTTTAAAGATAAACTTTTTGACTACTTACTACTTACTCCTACTCGAGTGAACAATTTTTTTTTTGTGTTTAATGTTACCTCCCTAACACGTATCCTACTTGTATATAAATTTTCCCCCTTTTTTATTTATTTTTCAATTTGCTGTCATTGTTATTAAATATTTGATTATGAATGAATGTTATTTTACGTGCCACCCACTCTTAAGTTGTTGCAAAAAGTTTCTCAATGTATGCTGCTTAAACAAGTGGTTATTATCAGGTACTTGAGTACAGGACAGGATATTTATTACATCCCTATATATACATAAAAAATCATCATATACCAGATGTTTTGCTACTAACATTGTTGAACAAGGTGTATTTAACATCATCATCACAGTATCATATTATTATACTTTTGTCACTTGGTGCGTTTCTTGGAAGTTGTACAAAAACAAATCACAAATGAAAAATAAGGAAAATTTTACACAATATATATATATATACACACATACATACATATAAAAATGTAAACGGATGTAAGTTGGCTGATATTATCATTACTATTTCTTGGCAATTGATTATTGTGATTCCTGTGAAGCAGTATTGCACTCGAGATTGCATTAAGTGAGTTTAAGGTAGAACACATAAATGACAGAGGGTCATTTTAAATGAAGGTAATGTAGCAGAAATATGAATTACATGTTGTGGTTAAAAGGGGTTTCATTTTGTTGTTTGGTTTATACAATTTTCTGGTAGTTTAAAAGCCCTTCAATTTATACAAAATTGGACGTGCGGATTCAGACGAATGTAGAGCATGTGTAGAAGACAGTGAAACTCTGTAGCACTTTCTTTGCCACTGTCTGGCCTACGTCGAAGTTAGATCCAAGTATCTTGGAAGTCATGTTATTCCAGAAATAGCATTCCTGACTAACACGAAAGGTTCTTAGGAATTACGTCCAGGAAATTGTGAACATTTTTTTTTTATGAAAAGGAGCGCACAACAGGCCCGATAGTGATCTAGGTGTATTTCTGCGTATTTGATGTAGTATACATCCTCCTATTAACGTAACCTAACCTAAAAGCCCTTCAATATTTTAAGGGGGAATTTCAGAAAAAGGAGCTTAATTGCCGATCACTCATATTTCAACTTACCTGTACATGGTTCGATAATATGTGGGTTGATGCGGTAATGTAGCACTAGCACAGCGATGATTACAACGAAAATCGTCATCAATATCCAAAACATTGGCCAGCAAAGACTTTGAAGATCTAAATATTGCCGGAAAATCAAATAAAACCAAAAAAGGAAAGACACATTAAGAAATTATTTTAAAAAATTTGTAATTTATTGCAAAAAATATCCCTTGAGAGGAGCCCCACAACAAAACGAATTTGACAATTTTGACATTGACACTAAAACGCAGAGCAAAGATGTGTTTTTGTGTGAGAGCGAGTGATGGTTTGGGGGGGGGATAGAGAGACACACAGAGAGAGATAGAGCAAGAAAATATTCAAAAGTTGTAAATTATTTTTTAATTACCTTTCCTTCAATTCAACATTTTGTATGTGTTGCTTTTTGTCGCCATTATTCGAGGATGTCGATGATGAGGGAGGCGGTGGGCATTCATAGCCAACCTGTCCAGGTCTTTGCATGCGCAATATGCAAGGTAACCAATAAAGGAATATTACTCTTATCTGGTTGGTACATATTGTTTGGTTTTTGTTAATATGATGATGGTATGAAAAACAATCAATTTTGATATTTTTTTTGGATTGTTGTTTGTTTTTATTGTAGATGTTTTAAAGAATTGTAAGTTTTTTTTTTGTTTCATACCGATTTAGGGTAAAGTGTTTTTTTTAATTAATTATTATTTTTAAATGATGTTAGTAGGATTTTTTAAAGTTTTTTTTTTTGTTTAATTTACGAAATTAATTAAATAATTTATTTAATTGTGGTTTCATTGTAGCAAAAATAAAATGATATTTTAATCACAGTGGTCAGTAAAATTGTTGTTGATTATTTTGAAAAAAGTAGTAGTTGTTGTTAGAGTTGTAGCAGAGTTGTTTTATTTTGGTAGGAGTAGTAGTAGAGTAGTAACAAGTTCAGTGAGAGAGTAGAGTTTATTTTGGAGATAGGTTTTTGGATAAACGTTTTGAAATATTTAACGTTTTTTTTATTGAGTTGCCAGTATTGATTTGATTTAAGAGAAAACATAAAAAATGTATAAAAAGAAAATTAATGTTTAATTTTTTTTTTTTTGATAATTAAAAAATTTAATAAAAAATATTTACTGTTTTTAAACTTTTAATTTAACAAGTGTTTAAAGAAAATTTTTATTTTACAAATCTTTTTCTTTCTTAATTTTTTCCAGCATGCATTAAATCATTTCTGTTTTTGCAAATATTTTTTTTTTTTTAATTTTATTAAGCAGTTTTTCATAAATTAATTAAGCGTGTGTTTTTTATTATATATATATAAGTATAGTAGTTTGTATATAAAATATATTATTTGTTTAAAAAAAAATATTTATAAAAGTATATGTAAGTATTTTAATATTTAGTGTAGGTGAGTGTTTAAGTTTATGTTTGCTTGTGTATTTGTTAATAATGTATTAGTATTTTGTTGTGTTATTAAGTTTAAAAAAGTTTTAGTTTATTTTTAAATAATTCTTTTTTTTTCAGTTTGTTTGTTTTTTTAAAAATATTATTACCCATTCACTCATTTCATGCGTATCTGGATTTCTATGATGATAATTGAGGATAAGTATGGTTGACACAACTGATGAAGCCACCATAAACATAATGCAATTGAAATAAGTTCCTAGAAGGACACAAAAATGACACAAATATTGTACTTACAACGTTTGATTTGTAATTTTTTTTTTGGTTTTGTTTTAAGAGTTTTAGACAAAATTGTAGTTTTTTTTTGAAAACTTGGTTTCTTTTGGTTTAGCAAAATGTTGTTAAAATTTAAATTCGTAGCTTTTTCTTTTTAAAACAATTTGATTGTGTAAATTAGTTAAACTAACTGTGTACGTTTCTCATTGTGATACACTGTACTAAGTTAACACTTTTCTTTAACTGTTGCTTTCATAAAGCTTTTTAGTGTTGTCATTTAAAGTTTTCTTGAATTTTATTAGACATTTTATTCGAAATTTAAGATAGTATTTACTTTAGTTAAAAACAATATTTATTTACAAGTGTTAAGGATATTCAGTTCATTTATATAAAAAGGTTTTCATGTGATTTCTCAAGCTTAAAAATGTGTGTCGCAAATAGTATATGTAGGGACTATAATAAAGTCTTGTATAGACTGGTCCATATTATAATCTTTAATCTCTTCTATAATCTTGTTTACAGCCGAGGCTGTAGTCTTATCTATTCTTAAGGCTGTAGTCTTGTCTTTAGTTGATGTTATAGTCAAGGCTGTAGTCTTATGTCTAGTCATGAGGCTATAGTTTGGTCTATAATCGAGATGATAGTCTTGTCCACAGTCGAGGATATAGCCTTGTCTGTAGTCTATTGTCTTGAAAATAGTGTAGTCTATATTATAATCTATAGTCTAGTCTATAGTCAAGCCTCTAGTCTAGTCTATAGTCAAGCCTCTAGTCTAGTCTCTAGTCTAGTCTATAGTCTAGTCTATAGTCTAGTCTATAGTCTAGTCTATAGTCTAGTCTATAGTCTAGTCTATAGTCTAGTCTACAGTCTAGTCTATAGTCTAGTCTATAGTCTAGTCTATAGTCTAGTCTATAGTCTAGTCTATAGTCTAGTCTATAGTCTAGTCTATAGTCTAGTCTATAGTCTAGTCTATAGTCTAGTCTATAGTCTAGTCTACAGTCTAGTCTATAGTCTAGTCTATAGTCTAGTCTATAGTCTATAGTCTAGTCTATAGTCTAGTCTAGTCTAGTCTATAGTCTAGTCTATAGTCTAGTCTATAGTCTAGTCTATAGTCTAGTCTATAGTCTAGTCTATAGTCTAGTCTAGTCTAGTAGTCTATAGTATGATGAGACTGTACTCTTGTCAATAGTCGACTCTATAATAGTCTTATCTATAGTCAATTGTTTATCGTCTGATCCATATAGTTGACATTGTGGTCTCTTCTATTATACAGACAATAGCCTTGTCTTTTTAAAAATGAAGTGAATATCCTTAAGCAAACCATTTAGTATTCATTTAGTCTGATGACTTTATTTAAAAGATAAATTTAAAAAAATATTTTTATTATTAATTTAATATATTTTTAAAAAAGTTTTAGTTTAAAATCAAGGTAAAAGTTACACAACCAAATATCGCAACGTAAATTTTTTAAAAAGTCATGAAATACATTTTATTTAAATTCTTTTTTATTGATTTTAAAAAAAAGCATACAAAAATATATTTTTTGGGAAAATTTTAAATAAATTTGTAATATTTTACACCAGGATTTTAGAAATATATAAATAGGTATATATATTTTTTAAAAAATTTTATTATTTATTAAAAGAAAAACATTTAAGCATTTTATATATTTTTTATTTATATAAATAAATTTTATATTATTTCAAAGAATTAATAAATTTTATACAGATACTTAAAAATCTTAAGAATTTATTGTTTAAAAGAAGAGAAAAAATTGTTTAAAAAATTATTTAACAAATACCTAGCCCTATAGAAATAAATTTAAAAAAACAAATTTGCGGCTCAATTCAAAGTTTTAAAAAAATTTTGTATTACAAAACAAAAATTTTTTTATATAAATTGATTTGAACCGTTTATTTGTTTTTGTTAAAAGAAATAAATTTATTAAAAAAAATAAATTTTGTTGTTAATTAAAATAGTTTTGTGCACAACCAATTATCCGCAATCATCATAATTTGTTTTTTGTATTTTTTTTCTTTTGTTAAAAATCGAGATTTAAGTTTGTTTTTGGGGGTAAGAATTATTTAGTTTTCAAATTATTATTATTGTAGTTTTGTTGTAATCACCTGAAAATTTTAAAGGAATTATTAATTTCTTTAAGAGTTTTAAAGCTGAGTTTCTATTTGGTTGTTTAGGAAGTGTTTTGAAAGATTTTGTAGTATTTTTGTGGTTTACATATATTTTTTGGAAATATTGAAATTTGTTTATGATTTTTAATAAATGAATTTTGTTCTAGTTATAGTTATATATGTGGATATATTCTATAGGTGGTGAATTTAAAGTTGATTTTAATATTTAGCTAATTTGGTTTCTGCTATTTTTGCTTTAATTGATTATTTGTGTTTTTTTTTGTTAAAGGAAGATTTTGCTAATTGTTTTAAAAGGGAGATTTTTCATACTAATTTTATTTTGTTTAAATTATATTTATATATTTTATGAATTCAAGGATTATTAATTTTTAATATGGTTTATTTACCCTTCACCACAGAATTTTGCTTCCAAAATTAATTTTTTTAAATGTTGTAAAATATTAAAGTACGGAATTTGGTACTTTTTTGCTGTTTAAATTTTACTCGAATTTATTTAAATTTGTGGTGAAGAGTAATTTTTTGTTCAAAATATCGTTTCTATTTTATTTATTTTCATAATTATTTAATTTCAAACATTATTTAACACCTTTGGTTTATACACAAATTTAACAGAAAAAAGAAACACATACATATTTACCTGTCACTGTTTAATCATTTAATTATATACAGAAAAATTAAACAATATAAAATTTTGTTATTTACACAAAATATTAAGAATAATTGTATATTTACATTAACTTGAAATTTAAATAACAAATTTAATTAATTTAAAAATTATATACAATAGAAAAATACAATTTGATTTTGTTTGTTTTATAGCAATGACAGAAGTTAGCAAAGGCACGAACCTGATTAAATGCTATTGTTGTTAAAAAGTTTAGAGATTTTGTCTTTTAAATATAATGTTTATGAGTATTCATTGACTAGAAAAAAAGGAAACATCTACTAAGTAATGGGTGTATTATTCTATTACCTAGACTATGGACTACTAGAAATCAGTTTAAGTTATAGTCTACATATTGATTAGCCTATATTGATTCTACCGATTAGACCGAACTGTAGTAGGTCTACTGACTACCGAAATGACGAGTCTATTTCCTAATTTGCGCCGAAGTAGTCTTCAATTGAAGTACTAGTTTGTGAACAAATCTATGTAAAATACTAATCTGTATTGATCAGTCTGGTTGGTTGTAGTGGTCCGTCTGACTTAGTTAGTTAGTTAGTTAGTTAGTTAGTTAGTTAGTTAGTTAGTCAGTCAGTTTAGTTAGTTAGTTAGTTAGTTAGTTAGTTAGTTTAGTTAGTTATTAGTTAGTTAGTTAGTTAGT